TAATGGTTATGTATTCTTCATGATCTTTGGATGTTTAGTGTTGAGTAACTTGAGTTTCAGAACTTGTTTTGGTTTTATTGTTTTTGGTTGAACTTTATATTGTGGTTTGTTCTCTATCTTTTTCTACGTCTTTTATTAACTTTTTATATGTATGTTTTTATAACTTCGGTGTGGAAGTTGATGTTTTTATTCGGTTTGAAACATGATATTATATACTATGAATGAATAAAAATTTATACATGTTTAACGCAACTTACATTTCGATGAAGAAACATCTGCACCAAAAAACAAAAAATCATTTTCATCAAATAAAGTCAATGGTGGTGATGATCAGGACAACACGAGTAACTTTCGTTCCTGTTATGTCTTGTCGTATTATCCATGATTACTTGATTTTGTGAGGTTATTCAAAAACATTTTAACATCTGAGATGTTCTGCTATAGAGCTTTTGAGAAAGAAGAAAGTGAAATAACATTTCAGAAACATAAACTTATTCTTGTTGTGTATCCCATGTTACAGCTTCGATACGCGATGAAGCTTTGGCGATTCTGAACTGTTCTTGTTCATCGCATAGATTCGAAGTTGTAACATGAGCTACACAACAAGAATATACTTATGTTTCTGAACTGTTCTTTTTCACTTTCGTATTTATCAAAAACTCTGTAGCAGAAACATCCCACATGTTAAACTATTCTTGAAAAAACCTCACCAAATCAAGTAATCATGGACAGTACAACAAGACATAATAGAACGAAAGTTACCCGTGTTGTCCTGATCATCACCACCATTGACTTCATTTGATGAAAATGATTTTTTTGTTCTTTGGTGCAAATGTTTCTTCATAGCAATGTAAGTTGCATTAAACATGTAGGAATTTTTATTTATTCATAGTATATAATATCATGTTTCGAACCGATTAAAAACATCAACTTCCAAATCGAAATTATGAAAACTTACATATAATTTTGTTTTTAAAGACATAAAAATAGAGAACATACCACAAGATAAAGTTCAACCAATACAAACAAAACAAATTTAGAAACTCAAGTTGCTCAACAATAAACATCCAAAGATCATGAAGAATACATAACCATTATGTGGAATTGTGGATTGTGGTCTATCTCTCATTATAGATTCCTTAATTCCCGTAATGAATTCGCACATGAATTTTTTAATAATCATGCAAATTATGGAATCTATTACGAACACGCACCCTTTGTCTATCGCTCTAAATAAATAAGTCAATCGATGAAATTTTCAGCATTTCATCATCAGAAGACCCTTTGTCTATTCTCTATGTCACACCAAATACGTTTCAATATGTGTACGTTCTATATGAGTGTGGTTTATTCTATGTCACACTGAATACGTTTCCATTCTATTTAGCTCGGCCCATTTGATTCATCTCTGTCGAGTAAACATAACAAAGTCTTACATATCAATAAACATAACAAAGATCCTTTCAGAAGAAAAAAATACAAAAAGATCTTCAGCCGCAATTCAAAGACAAACGTTTTAAGCACAAAGAAGTAAGCATTCTTCTACTTAAAAAGGTAGGAAATTGCAGCAAACACAAATAGACACACAAGGAGAATAACCTTCACCTCTATTCGCAAGTAACTCTTTCAGCCAAGCCATCTCTACATCATTGCGGTCTAAGAGTTCCTTCAAGTGCCCAATCTCATCACCATATGTCTCCATGCTTACACGCATTGCCTCCAAAGAAGGATCATTTCCATGAGTCCTCAACTCATGTTTCTTCTCTAACACGGCTGCGAGATCCTATTTTGCATCTTCACGCCGCTTCAGTAACTCGGCTGGAGTGATCTCTTGCATCCGGGCGAACATTTGTATTGGACGAGTTTCCAGTGATACCATCATGGTGCATGATACACTTAACATGGTATTGTTTCCATGTCAGATTCCGCCAATCACCATCCTTATTACGTTTTAAGCTCAACCCATACACAATTTAAAGAGAATCACCATAACTCGAATCAATAAAGAATATGATAATCAATGAAATTATAAAATTCGTGATCTGAATTATAAAAAAAAAAAGAAGGAAAATGTCACAAGTTTTAGAAAATATATAGGTGATGAAACAAATCGTTATCAATATTCCCCTTCAAACAAAGTTCTCACTTTTATGACTTCCAATACCAACCAGTCTCACAAACCCCCACACATGTGACTGAGACATCGAATTTTTACCCAATTTTATCTCAATTTTCTTAAGCTTTGACGCCGAGTCTTGTTTTGAGCTCATCAGCAACTGCATCGATGAAATCTTCCGTGTTCAGGTAAGTGTCCCTCGAGAGCCTGGAGAGAAAAAACGACAAAAAATGTAAACCAAAGCAAATCTTTCATGAGAACAAGGAATAAATGCGGAAGAAGCAGAAGAAATTATTGAATTACTTTGAGCCGTGAATAATGAGTGCAAGATCCTTGGTCATTTTCCCAGACTCCACTGTACCAACACAAGCAGCTTCGAGCTTCTCGGTAAATTCCAAGAGTTTTGAATTGTCATCTAACTTGGCCCTGTTCCAAGACATGTGCATTCGTTTATATAACCATCATCCTCCTTGAAAACAATATTAAGCGTGAAGGATGTTGATTTTGTTACCTGTGTGCAAGTCCACGAGTCCAAGCAAAGATGGAGGCTATGCTGTTTGTGCTGGTCTCACCTCCTTTCTGGTGAACCCTGAAGTGACGGGTTACCGTTCCATGGGCTGCTTCAGCTTCAATCGTCTTTCCATCCGGGCAGACCTAACGGAGATACACAACCATGGTAAAAGCAAAACGTTAAAATAAATAATAACTCAAGGGAACATGAAATAGGAGATTGTGTCACGATATAGCTGAGAACATGCAAGTATTACCAGAACAGATGTCATCAATCCAAGAGACCCAAACCCTACACACATTACAAGAAACTATTAGCTAACAACAAAATTAATGAAACCCATATGAATCCAACGATGGAGCTGCGGTGCAAGACAGACATAACCACTTATGGGGATATTCATTTACAATCACACAGACCTTGTGCCAAAAAATCGCTTTGGACATCACCATCATAGTTTTTGCATGCCCACACATAGCCTCCCTCGCTCTTAAGAGCGTAAGCCACCATATCATCAATGAGACGGTGTTCATACCTAACCAATTTAATCATTTAGATCCTTCTCAATGAAAGGTAAGCACCATGATATGTCAATGATAAAAACATTATGAGACTCACCATATTCCGGCAGCCTCATACTTTGATTTCCAGCTGGCTTCATAGACTTCCTGGAAGATGTCTTTGAATCTTCATAGTAAAACAAAAAATGAAACCGACATCAAATATGGATGGAGAAACTGTCTCGCTCAATCATGAGCAAAAGGACTATACGTATGTTAAAATAACCAAAACTAACTGTGACATACCTGCCATCGTATTTCTTAAGAATGGTATTCTTGGTGCTAAGATAAAGTGGCCATTTTTTCTCATAAGCAGTGTTCATTGATGCATCAGCAAAAGAACGGATGGACTGTATGTTAAGGAAAAATATATATAACTTAACTCAGAGGCCAATCTCCAAAAGAAGAACAAGTAATTTTGACTGTAGTTGGAAGAAAGCACAAGTATAACTATACCTCATCAGTGTTGTACATGGCCATAGCAACACCGCCTTCACCGGTAAATGTAAAGACTTCAGTTTCAGTTTTCCCATCTTTCCCCTCTGAAAATCAATGACATTACAGATTTAATTAGTACCTAATGAATAAGAAGGAAGAAAATGAAAGAGAATTCAAAATTATGCAATGCCAGTCCCAAATGAGATGACCGATGAAAGGTAGTAAGTTTACCATAAACCATGGTCAGTTTTCCTGGTCCCTTGATTACAGCATCAGTGGCACGATACTGATCACCAAAAGCATGCCTTCCAATACATATGGGCTTTGTCCAGCCTGGAGGAAACAAGACATATTCTTAGAACCCTTAGGCAATAAAATTGTTAATGCAGCGAGACCATTGTCAATAATTACCTGGGACAAGCTTGGGAACATTTTTGCAGATAATTGGTTCTCTAAATACGGTTCCTGTGAGAGAGAAACAAAGTGTAAGCCAACAGAGAGTGATATTGGATAGGCTTTAAACTTAGAATTGTGTATTTCTTACCATTCAGAATATTCCTGATGGTCCCATTTGGACTTCTCCACATCTGCTTCAAGCCAAATTCCGTGGCACGGCCTTCATCTGCGATGAAAAAGATCAATACTTAGTAAAATGAAAACAATGGAAAAAATGGTACATTCCAAAATATCTATTCAAAACATACCTGGAGTGATGGTGGCACACTTGATCGCCACATTATACCTAAAAAAAAATAAACAAGAATTCAAGATAGATAGAATACTCCACACACAGTATAACAGAGATGTACCAAAAGTTAGCCACAAAGAAGCAGAGAACGAAAAAGTGGTTGAGTCGTCAAATCACAAGGACTATTATTCTACTATGATCCAAGTTTCAAACACATACTTCTTAGTGGCTTCAGCACTTTCAACGGTAACTTTGTCATCCGTAGCATCACGGTGAGGAAGACCAAGATCGAAATACTTGATATCCAACTCCACGAAAGGGGTAATAAGCTGAAAACATTTGAGCAAGCGAAAGTTGAAGATACGCAAAACATGAATCGCAACACATTAAATATGCATCAGAATATGTAGCTTATATACCTTATCCTTGATAGACTTCCAGATAACCCGGGTCATTTCATCACCTAATTACACAGACCAAATATTTCAGACTTGATTGAAGCATAAGTGTAAGTAAAACACACCAAATATTTGACCACATATAACCAGAAACAGCAATGGACAAGAAAACAAAAGCTGGAAAAGCAGCAGCATGCTTCGATCTACCAACAATTACTAGGCCGGTCCCATATTCTGATCCGACATTATCAGAAAATGTTCTAGAAAAAAAAAACCAAACTTTGAAGCTGCAAATCAATACTTAATCTCTCTAACACTGTAACGTAGCCCAGACTGTTCGTAAAGGATAAACGTAAATCAATCGATTAATCAACGAACAGAGCAACAGTTTGATTGATCTATACCATAATACACGTTCAGAACAAGATCAAGCATGAAAGTAAAACTAGTTTACACATGCGTATATTCTAGTTAGCAGATCAGAACGAACAACGAAACTTCGATAAAAACTAGGCAACGAAAGTAAAACGTTTTGTTTCGTATCGAATCAGTGAAGAGATCTGAAGCCAAAAA